TACTGACAGGAGGAAAGTTTGAGGAGCCGGGGGATAAGAAAAAGGGCCTTGCAGTAGTCTTTTGGGAGATGCTGCCAGCCTCTTTCAGGAACTTCTTGTGCCTTGCTCTGGCTTAGACGGTTGCCAAGTGCAATCGTTCCCTTTGCAAAAGCTGGAAGGAGCTTTTGGCACATGTAAGGAGCAGACTGGTAGAAAATACAGAATACAGGGGGACTACATTTCTCAGAATCCCCCATCAGCCAGGCAATGAACTATAACTACTATTAGGGATTGTATTCCAAAAGAGTAAATGTCCTTAAGCTCTGGCTGTTATGCCTCTAGGGGAAAGTTTTGGGGTTTCTGTGGAGGTATCCCAGTTTGTAGGGAACCCATGAGCAGTTGCAGTTTTTGCTTCTGTGGCGAGGGAAATGTGACCCCAGGGCCCTCCAAGACTCTTTCTGCAGCCCCTGATCTGCCCAAACTTTCCCATTGTCCTTTCTAAAGCCCCAAATGGTAATGAATTGCATTTCTTGGATGATTCCCTGAGAGCGATGAGTCACATTTTAAATAGATTGCACCTTCTACGTAATTTAGCATCAATGAAATCTTTCAAAAGTTTTTTTTTTTGGTCACATCTAGCTTTTCTAGCTGGGGATTCTGGGAACTGCAGTCCAAAAAAAACCCCCAAAAACCAAACCCAACAGCTGGAACCCTCTTGTTGAATTATGATGGCCAAAGTCAGACTTAGAGAGATGTGTCAAAGCAAGCATGGCTTAGTAGTTTGAGCAATGGACGAAGGGGGGTTGCAGACTGCCAGAAATAGTGCAAATTGAGTCCACTTTTAGGGTTAGGGTTAGGGTTAAGGAATCATGGGAACTGTATTTTATTGTGGCACCAGAGCTCTCTGACAGAGAAGGCTCAATGTCTCAGAAAAAAACAATTCCCATGATTCCCTAGCACTAACCCTAACCCTTAAAGTGAACTCCATTTGCACTATTTCTGGCAGTCTGCAACCCCCCATGGGGACACACTCTCAGCCCCAGAAAACCCCATGACAGCTCTGCCTTAGGATTGCCACAAGTCAGAAATGACTTCAAGGTACACAACAACAACAACAACAACCACAACTCTGACCAGACCCTAATTTTAGGCTCTGCTTTCCATTATAGGGTTCTGCCCTGGACCATTAAGCCAATGCCATTGGGCAAATGGCAGACTGGACAATGGAGCTACAGAAATGTAGTTCCATGCGAAAACTATGTCTCTGAAGCAGGATTCCAGCCAGCATTTCCTAGCCTTGGTGTTTATAATGTCCCATTAGCACAATCTGTTAATCATTTGTTCATCATTTTGATTCCCGGTTACTAATGAAGCTCTCGTTTTATCCTGGAGGTGTTTATGATGGAATATTGAATGGAACCTTTATTAATTCCGATTTTCATTATCCCGCTCTCCTCCATCCTGCTTTTCTAGTTTATGCAACCTGCCCAAAGCACTTTATACTAGAAAATATTTTTAAAACATCAATAAATTAAGCACAGTAATTAAAAATAACTTAGAAGCTACAACAAAACCAATGAATCATTCCCCTTTCAAAGGTATTACTTTGTGCTGCTGTCCATGGTTCTGAACTGGCAAGGATGAAGAAAAGACCCACAAAGCCCCTCATTCTTCCAGACTGCTTTTTGTTCATAACTAAAATTATTCCCTACTTTATACTTGAATTCCTGTACCACTTATTCTTGCTTTTACAGGCTTAAGGTGTGCTAGGCATAACTCTTGTGGAAGTTACATTTGGACACATCTCCCAGTTACGTCTAGCTCCAAATAGACAAGATGTCTGCTTATGTACAAATATTCAACTGTGGTATAATCTGCACTGCAGAATTATTGAAGCTTGACATTGCTTAAACTGCCATAGCTCAATGCTATGGAATTCTGGGAGAGATTTAGCCTTCTCTGTCAGGAACTTCTGTTGCCCTTCTTGTTGTGTGCCTTCAGGTTGCTTCCGACTTATGGAGATCCTGAGACAAACCTATCCTGGATTTTTCTTGGTAAGATTTGTTCAGAACAGGCTTGCCATGGCCTTCTCCTGAGGCTGAGAGAGTGTGACTTACACAGCCAAGCTGAGAATCAAACTCTATTCTCCAGAGTTGTAGTCCAACTCTCAAACCACTACGCCTAGATGACTCCTACCAAACTACAAACCCCAGAATCCCACAGCATTGAGCCATGGCAGTTAAAGCGGTGTCAAACTGCATTATTTCTGCAGTGCAGATTAGACCTATAAAACAACTGGATACAACTGCACAGCTTGTTGTCCAAAAAGCTAGAGGATTTTAGGAACTCCAGTCCAAAGAAGAAACATTTTCCAACTTTGGCTGTAGGTGCTGCGCAGAATATGTTGCATCGGAGTTGGCAGAGTCTCCTTCTTTGGAAGTTTTTAAACAGAGGCCATTTTTGGGAGGGCTTGGATTGTGTCTTCCTGCTTGCTTGAAGGGATGATCTTTGGGGTCTTTTCCAGTTCTGGGATTCTATGATACATTTTTGTGGTGTAGAAACCTACCTCTATTCCCCCCCCCCCATTATTTCTACCTCTGGTACCAAATTTTCTGTTAAAGAAGTGATGCCTAGGAGCAACATTGAGTTTATAAACTACCCTATTGTTGTTGTTGTGTGCCTTCCAGTAGTTTTCCAATTTATGGTAACCCTAAAGCCAACCTATCCTGGGGTTTTCTTGGCAAGATTTGTTCAGAGGAGGTTTGCCATGGCCTGAGGCTGAGACTGTGTGACTTGCCCAAGGTCACTCCCTATAACTGTAATGTTTTTCTGTGGGGGGGGGGGGCATATGGGTTATCCTTCTCTCTACCACTCATCTATGGACCTTCCCATAAAACCACATGCAAAGGCTGAGCAAGGAAAATAGTTGCACCCCAGTCTTTTTGGAGGACACCAACCAGGCTTAGAGAAGGTCCAGATCATGTTATTAAAAGGAATCCATTTCATATTGTGGATTGGATTGCTGCATAAAATAAGGCTTCTTCTGCATGGAAAGCTGTCTGTTTTCCCCTTCTCTGCCTATTCTTTTCCACCCCCAGAATATTGGGGGGCACCCCACTAAGACCAGCATGCAAATGGAGCGACGGCATCTTGTAAAAAGACCCCCGAGTTTGAAAATGCATCTAATGCTTCTTGCGCTCTCCAGCAACGGGAAAGAAAATATTCCACCCCTCTGTCTCATCTTCCTTGATGGAGTTAATGTTCTGGAGAGACACATATTTGAACTGAGGCATGAAATAGGGGGAAAGATCTTATATTTTGTTTGCAGCTTTTGACTGTCATCCCCATGGGACATTTGTGGATTTTGAGGAGGGCCGTGCCAACCTTTTAATAAATGAGATTTTTTTAAAGGCACAGACTATTAAGAGGATGCTGTATGGTGTTAAACCGAATTGTTTTAGGTATATTTTAGGTGCTACAAGATCCCTTTCCATACTGGTTTTTGAAGATAGGGTCAAAAATACTCTGGAGATGATCATCCTGCTTTTCCTTAACACCCCTAAACCACGAATAATTCTGCAGCTTCTTAATTTTTCCCTGATTGAATATACTTTCCCCCTTTAGCATTGCTCTGCCTTCCATTGGCCTTATGCTCATTCTCTGACCTTTCCACATCACTGCAAATACAACCCTATAAGAAGCTAGGAATGCAAAAAGAAAGGGAGAGATGCAGGAGAAAATAGAAATATGGGGAGTGGAGGGTAGAGAGAAAATAAAGGTGATCTCTTCCTCTTTTTAGCTCTTGTACAAACAGAGAGAATGCCAGTGGGGGGGGGGGAGAGAAAGATTTAATTCCTTCTGACATATCTGTGCATTTAAAAGCTCAGAGAGTCAAGACAGGACCAGTGCTTACTGGATCAAGGCTCAGTGCCCCAAAGGCAGGATTATGCATCCATCGGCATCCATCCAACTCAAGCAACCCAAAACACATTGTGGCATGAGCTCTGCAACCCTACAGGGTTTACAAAGCAACAGCGGAGGCTGGTGGCAGAGACTCAAGATGGCTTTTAATCCAAATTTAAAAGGAGCTTTGCAAGGTGAGGACCCCTGTTCCTAAAGAGGGTCATCACCAGATATCCAAGGTGAGGGATAGGGGCCCTTACCTTGCAAAACTCCTTTAAAGCTTGGGCTAGAAGCCAGACTGTGTCTCTGCAACCCACCTCCACTGCAAACCCTGTAAGTCACCAGCTCTCTGCTTTGGGAAATGAAGTTTGCACTAAAATCCAGCCCAAGAGCCACTGGTCCAAAACACACTGTAGAAATAATCCGGTTTGAGGCTGTTTTAACTGCCCTGGCTCAATGCTAGGGAATTCTGGGAACTGTAGTTTTGTGAGACATTGAGCCTTCTCTGTCAGAGAGACCTCAGGTGCCACAATAGACTGCAATTCCCAGAATTCCCTAGCACTGAGCCAGGACAGTTAAAGCAGTCTCAAACCGGATTATTTCTGCAGTCTGTTTTGGACCACTGTCCATCTCCCTTTTTAAAAATGCATTCCCATGAGATGTGCGGTACTGGGAAAGGTAAGTGATTCTTGTCCTGTGATAAAGGCAGCAACAGCAGCAGCATTGGATGGGTTGCCCATCTCTTTATGATGGACCAGCCTGTCCTTTGGTGCTTGCTGTGTCTTTATGTGTGCTTCATTTCACAAAAAGGTAAGGAAAAAAGAAGAAGAATCAAGGTGTACACATACAGAGGCGCTTTGCACAAAGCCTATTATGTGCGAATGGCAGAAAGCGCCATGGAAAAGTCAACCGTTTGGTCCCTCCAACTTGCACTGGAGGTGAGATTTTTGGAAAGTATTGAAATAACCTTTGGCCTCCCTCCAACTCTTCTGCAAGAACCAGATTAGCCTAGCATCCCACCGATGGTGAGATTTCTCCACATCTCAAGTTGCCGTTGTATCAGTTCCCTAACAGAAAGCTAAAATACCACCATTCTTGCTTTTTGTTGGTGGCGAAGAGCCAGCATGGTGCAATGGTTTGAGTGTTGGATTAGGACTCCAGGAGACCAGGGTTCGAATCCCCTGCTCAGCCATGGAAACCCTCTCTCCCCTCAGAGGAAGGCAAGGGCAAACCATCTCTGAAGAAACCTGACCAAGAAAACTCTGAAGCAAAGAAAATCTTTGATGACTGAGTTCATTTTTTTAAGAAAGAAAAGGCTTGTTTGCACTGAAAATGGCATTTTCTGCTCAGAAAAGAACACTCCTGCACAGGTAATGCCATTTATTTGTTCAGAAAATACCATTTTCGGTGCAAATAAGCCTGTGTACATTGCTTTGCACCGAATAACCGCTGACCTTTGAGTAGTCTTTTTAAAAATATATATAGTGTTGTTGTTTTTTCTCATGGCAAGGAGAGACATGGTAGAC